GCCGCCATTTTGTGGCGGGGACGCGGAGGGTGGGATCCCGCTATCCCCGGCGAGCCCTGGGGGCTGCGCCTGTGGGGCTGACTTCTGTCCCGCTGCCCGCCCGCGGCCTGGCAGCTCCGCAGCCGAGCTCACGGCGCGGTTGGGGCCGCAGGGAAACGAGGGGGCCCCTCCTCGATCCCGGTTCGTGTTGCTGCCAGCTCTAGCAAGGAAGAATTGCCTGAGTTCATCCTGGAGAGGGGGAAAGAGGGGCCCAGCCTGGCTCTGCCTGCAGTACCCGGCAGCTCTCCGAGGTTTTCTGGGGCTCTGCCCCGGCACCAGCCCTGGCAGCCACCATCACAGCCCCAAACTTCCCGGACACTGCGGGCAGGGCGCTGCCCTCAGCCCCTGGCACCCCTTGTGCCCATCGGGCTGACCCGGCCACTGGCTCTCGGGCTGCTCCACAGGGCGCTGCTGGGCTCACAAAATCACCAAAAAAATTCCTATTTGCTGGTGCCTGGGGTTGTGCCTTGGCAGTGCAGCACAAGATGATCATGGTAATTTTGCTTGCTGTGTTCTTTTAGGGCTCTGTGGAGACAGATGCCATCATGCTATTTTAAGTGCTTCATGTTTTGGGTTAGTCTTGTTTTTATTTTAATCATTTTTTCATGCAGGAAATCCTTGGTCCACAGCCAGCAAAGTGAGAATTGCAAAATCCCCAAGCTCCTCTTGCTTCCAAGACTGGAAATTGCCTGCATATAAAATCAATTTAAAAGAATTTTGCACATTAACAAAATAATGAGATATTTGTGATTTTTTTCTTCTTCTTCCTCTCCTTGCTGGGAGCAATGTGAGACGGCAGCAGTGGGCCATGGTTGGGGAGGTGAAGGGCTGTTACTTCTCAGAGTATCTGTGACAGTCTTTAGGCTCTGATTGGAGTGTTTATGGAAAGTTTTATTTATTAGCATGATTTTTAAGTACATTTGGGGTAGGAGCCCATACCTGGTGCTCTGGCTCATGTGTGGGGCAGAAGGTTGAACCTGAACTGAAGAGGAAGAGTCTGGGAAGAGGGATTGCTGGGTGGGATGGAGCCCAAAGCTTTCCCAGCCCCAAACCCACAAAAAAATAACCATAAAAATATAACAGTTGGAGATTACTATTCAACTACATGGTGGCAGATAAGTGAAGTGAATCAATCTGTGGCAGGGAGGAGATAAGCACAAGCCTCTGGTCCGGAGGAGCAGCTGCCTGCTGAGGGAGATAACAAGGTCATTGCCAAACAAAACAGATCCCTGCTTCCTCCTCCTCACTCCCCTGGTTTCCTTTCATTCCCGCTCCCAGTCAAGCGAAGCGCTTGCCAAGCAAGCCCTTGACAAAAGAGGGGATGCTTGCCGTCCCCGGAGAGCAGGAGCGAAGCGGGGAGATAAGGTGGCTGCAGCTGGAGCATCCCTCCTGGCTGGCTTTTGGGAAGGGTACGCTCATTAATACCAATTTAATTCATCCTGTGGTGTACCCAGGGGCTGCCTGAGCTGGGTCAAGGGGAACCAGGTGGATTGGGGCTTGCTTGGACTCCCATAACCCATCCCCTGCCCTCCCCACATTGCCTTGGTCCCCGCTGTGCCAGCCAGGGGGGCTTTGCCCGGCTCTGCGGTGCGGGTGGGTCCGGGCTGCTGCCAGGGCACACAGGAGGACCCAATCCCATCTCACCCATTTTGTCTGGGATCCCCTTGTCCTAGGTTGGCAGCAGCCCTTGCTGTGCTGATTGGTGCCGTGGTCAGCACCCACCATGATCCCCCCATTTTCCCATAGACATATTTCAGCTGTTTCCAAAGAGCTTTTATTTTCCATCCATTTCCCTTTCCACCCTGGAAGAAGCTCCAAAGGGCTTCTGCAGGGAGCCAGCCCACAGTGAGGGCTCTGCAGCCAAGCCCATGACCTCAAAACCTCCCCATCCCACATCAGGCACCACATCCAGCCACCACAACAGCCTGCCTAATGCTCCCACTGCCACCAGCTCCCAACATTGGGGCTTCACCCCAGCTCCAGACCCTACAAACACCTCCAGGAGAGCAAAGACCTGAATATCTGATGAAGGAAGAAGAAGAAGGATTGCTTTATTTTCCTCTGCTTCCCCACAGGTAAGCAGTGCAGTGCTCAGCTCCATGGGCACAGGGAGGGAGCGACCTGTCTGCTTGTTTTTGTGTTTTATTCAGGATGAATCATGGCGCTGAGCCTGGCATTAATAAACCTGACAGATCCTTGCCGGGTGTAATTGCAGCGGTTTTGATAATGAAGGCATTACTCCAATGAGCTTGGGGCAAAACTGTCTCCTGATGGCTGAGACATCGCAATGGAGAGCGATGATGCGCAGCTGACTTCCCCGGTCCAGGCACCCCTCAGTGAAAGATGACAGGTGCTCTGCCTCCGTGGGAGCAGAAGCATAGCTGGTGGTGGCATTGCCCCTGGGTGGCCGAATGGGGGGTCAGCAGCTCCCCCCAACACACCCTCCCCTGCTTCAATCTGTAACCAAGAGCTGGCAGGTTTAACCCTTTAAGCCTCACCCAAATCTGGGGACAAGATGTGTGTCCCCCCCCTGCAGCAAGTCCCCGTGCATGGGGATCAGCTGGTGCCGCGGCAGCGAGTGGGGGTGCGTTGGGGGGACCCTGCAGCACATCGCTGACCCTGGAGCAAGCATGACGCAGGCTTCGCACTGCCTTTATCCACAGCAAAGCAACTAAAATACCCCCGGAGTTTCTCCAGCGTATAATCTCCTGCCTATGTAGAGGGCATATTCCTGCCTATGTACCCGGCGCATGGCTGGCCGGCATGGGAGGCGGTGGGGTCAGTGCTGGTGGTCCGGCTGGTGGTCGGTGGTCCCCGAGCCGCTCGGGTTGTTGGGTACCTGTACCTGGAACTTCTTGGTCAGCAGCTCCTCTTGGGGAGGTGGCAGGGGCCGCTTCAGCCCCTTGGTGGAGGAGCCCGATGTGTCTTCTGTGTCGTCGAGCTGCGTCCCCGACCCATACCGGGGCTCCGGGGGCTGGTAGCCCGTCTGGTTGGGATCCAGGGGGTCTCGGGAGAGCAGGATGCAGATGGAGGGGACGTTCTTGTGGACGGTCAGGTTCTGTGCTGGGCCACCAGGCAGTGGGTCCTGGTTCTGCCAGACCTCCAGCAAGGTTTTGTAGCGTACCTTGGTGACCTGGTGAAGACCTCCCAGCTTCCGCTTCATGATCTCCACACAGGTGATGGTCTTGGTGACTGCCCTGCCGCAGCCACTGAAGACGATCTGCCGGCTGCCCTTCAGCTCCATCTGGGCCATGGCAAAGTTCATCAGGTTCCTGATCTTGCTGCCCTCCTTCACCTTCATCTCCACCACGTCTGGGGGCAGGTCGGGGAAGGGCAGTGGGCTCTCCTCCTCTGACGTCCTCACCTTTCGGAAGTTCTCCATCCTGGACTGGGTGACAGGCTTGGCTCTCTCTCCTTCAGCAGCCATCCTTCACCCCTTGCCGGTGGATCTGCTCGGGCTCCTAGCCCCCCAGGACCATGGCAGGGCTGACTCTGCTGCCCTCCAGCTCAGCCCGCAGGAGGTCTGAGTTTAACACTGTGTCCCTGGGACCACCAGCCCCTTCCCTCTCTTCGCCCAGGACTGGCTGCAGAGGAGCCGGCAGCAGGCTCGGTGACTGTGCCAGAGGCTGTCCCCCGGTGAGGACAGGGCTGTAGGATCCCCTGGGTGCCCCTGGTTGCTGCCGGTGGGGCAACGGCCAGCTCCGGCTCTTGGGGGTGCTTAGGCTCCTCCGCTCCCGCTGCAGCACTCGCTTCTGCTGCTCTTTGCTTCATTCTGGACTTCAGCAGCCCCCAGAGCTGTTCTGTGTAATTAGCAGATCCTCCCCTTCTCCCTCCCCTTCCTCCCCTCCTCCTCCTCCTCCCCTCGCTCAGCCTCCCATCCCAGCGCCCAGCTTCTGCCTTCATCCCTGCCCAGCACGGAGAGCCAGGGAAGGTGGAGGGGTGGGCAGGGAGCCCTGGTCCCGGCCGGGAGCATGCAGGCAGGGAAGGAGCAGGCAGGGAAGGGAAGGTAGAAGGCAGAGGGAGCAGCTCACTCTTGTCTTCATGATGCTGCCGGAGTCCTGCCCCCTTAAAGAGAACCTGGTCCCTTCTCTCGGTGTTTGCTCCGCTCAAGGACGCCAACTGCTAACTGGGAATGTCAGCCTCCCTGCCTGCCGGCCTGCCTGCCTCCCTGCCTCCCCTGCACCCTCTTGCCGGCAGCATTCCCAGAGGGATGAGTCCTGGCCACGCAGCACCCGGGGATGGCACAGAGATGCAGGAGGTACTTAGGGAAAGCTAGCAGCCTCACCTCAATCCTTATGAGCCATCAGAGATGCTACTTCAGCCCTGGGGCCCGGAGGCAGGAGAAGTCCTGGCAGATGGCATCGCGGCCGTGCACGCCTGCCTGCCGAGCGGCTGTGGGGCTGAGGTGTGCACCGAGCATGCCGGGGCTCTGCTCCCCCCGATACCCCGCAGCCTCAGCCCTGGCTCTCCCCGCAGGAAAACCTCCCCGTCCCAAAAGCCTCAAGGAGCAGATGTCACGGCAGAGCCGGTTTTCACGGGTGATTTCTCTCTCTACTCCTCCTTCCCCATCCTTCCTTCTCCCCACTGCTTGCCCAGACCCTGTCCCTTGCTCATCTCCATGTCCCCAACAGGGAGCTGCCTGCCGTGGGGTCACCGTTGTATTTACTGCCTGAGCCCCCGGCAACACACCCCAGGAGATACCTATTCCAGGCCAGAAAATCTCTCCTTTCTGCCCCTAATCCCTTCCCCGGGCAGAGGCGATGTCCCTGCCCCAGGCTGGCCCTCTGCCTGCCCCTGTCACCTGCCTGTCCCCTGCCTGCCCCTGGCACCCCCAGCCTCTCGCCCTGCTGGCTGGGGGATCATTGCACAGTGGAAAGACATGCCGAGTATTGACTTGCAGTCAAATCTTATCGGCCTCTGGAGGCCCCTGGATTGTTTTCACTCCGAGCAGGGCTTGAAAAAATACATAAATAAATAAATCAATCGATCCAATGCCCATGGAGGTGAAGGCTGTGGCAAGGCAGGATGCAGCCATCCCCTCCCGGCTGGGGCGAACCCCTGCATCCCTGAGGTCCCCAAAGCAGTTTTCTCTGGGTACTGCTGCCCTAAGTGGGGGGTGGGTATGGGACACCCCTTGATCCAGCCACCAGACTGGAGTCCAGGTGGGTCTGTGGATGACGGGAGGACAGCCCCAGTGTCTCACCCACGTGGGATGAGTTGCTCCATCAAAGAGCGGTGCCCCACTGCACTGGAAAACCCAGGGGATGGAGAGCACCTTTTCCTGATCCAGCTAACAGCCCATGAGGCCCTTTCAGTGCAGAGGGGGAAACTGAGGCAGGGCACACGATGGTCCCAGGCTCACCCCCAGCACCGGCAATGGATTCAGGCTTTGAGCATCCCCCAAGTCCCGCCCAGTGCTCTGTGGTAGTGAGCATGCCTTGTTGCTGTGCTTCCACCATGAATCCATCTCTTGTATGAGACAAAACAATGTCATTTTTTCTCCTTTCCGCTTGAGGACTATTTGTGGCATCCTTGCAGAAGGCCCTTGGCTCCTTCCTCAGGCAGGCAGGGGCAGATTAAGCATCTCAGGGAAATTGCTGCCTTCAAAAGATGCTAAAACCCTGGGAAAATAATCAGGAAGGATTGTAGCAACCATTTGCAGAGCATGTGCAGCCGAGGGAGCTGAGAAACCCCTTCGAGTCGTTATTCAGATGTGCAAACAGCCACGGACAGCACAGGAGGGTTATGTGGCCACCACGGACCAACAGTGCCAAGGTTCCAGGTGAGCCAGGGCTGCTCAGTGCCAAGCCTGCAGCCTGATGAATCCCTGGTGCTGGGTGAACCATCCAACCCTGCTTTCCTGGCCCAGGAACAGCTCCTGCCTCCTGTGACCCATTTTTCATGGCGTTGGGGTGCCTTTGCTACCCATCAGATGATGGAAGCGGCAGCGGTTTCTCCCCCGCTGCCTCTAATTGCTGCTTAACAAACTCTGCTTATTGCAGCCTCCAAAATGGAGGCAGACGAGGTGCAATCACAGCCAAGGCTTTCTGCAGCCCTCAAAGGGCTGCGGAGGGTGCGCTCCCCCCCAAGGCAAAGGCTGCAGCAGCGGGGGAGAGGGAGGGGGCGTTAATGACAGGGTCTTGCTTTCCCTTTGCAGTGCTTAAAATGTAAATGAAATGCATTATTAGCAATTGCTAATTACCCGCTGAAGCCATTATCAGCGTATTTGTTGGAGCACAACAGAGTGGATCGGTTATTCCAAGCAAATAGCTGAATAGCTGAAATAAGCTCAGCAGCAGTGAAGAGCATGAACAGCAGGGTGGGAGAGTGGGGATGAGGCACAGACAGCCCCAACCGTGGGGGCACCACTGGGAAAGAGAATAGGGAGCTGTTTAAAATGGAGAAGCAAGCTGTAAAGGCAGGAATGGAGGAAAAAATAGGAATAAAGCAATTACACCCTGCATATCATCTGTCTGTCCTCCCTGAGCATCCACTCTGGTCATGCTGGGACCCAGGGACTGGTTTCTTCCTTCCTTTCCTCATTACAGTCTCTGAGCATCCCACGTCTCAGTGGCACAGGCTGCCAGCACTCCACAGGGCTGGGGGTCCCAACCCTGGGTGGTTCCCCATCCCTGTGGGACTATCTTGCCTGGTCCTGACCCAACTGGAGATGTGAACTTGGAAAGGCCATTTGGCAGAAAAAAAGAGAGGAGTGGAGAGGGCTGCAGGGGCCAGCACAGATGCAAAGCTGACAGCAGCCATGCCCAGCCTAGGAAAAGGGGAAAAAAAACCCAGAAACATATTCCTAATGGAGAGCAGGGCAGCTGGAGAGGAACGGTAATCTGAGCCTCTGTCCTTCACCTGCTCTCTCCATATTTTCTTTCATCCAAGGTGGCTCTGCATGGGAGTGGGTCGGAAAGTCAAAGCATCCGATACAAGGAAAGTCTTGGTGCCGCCATCCATCTCTGCGTCACATCGGCCCGGCTCAGGTCTCAGGCACTCATCACGTTGCACTCAGCAGCAGGCTGATGCCTGAGCTGATTGCAGCCCTGGCAGGGGGTGGGTGCAGATGGACCCCCAGGGTGCCACGGCTGCAGGGACGCCCTGCCCTGATCCTAAACAGGGTCCAGGAGCCACTGCTTCCAAGGGCCAGCACCAGAGGATGTGTCCCCAGGCTCTCTGGGGTACAGAAGCTGTTTTGAGGTGCTAGAGGAACCCCAGGAGCATCCTAGGGTGGCACCAGCTCTCCACTAACTGAGCCAGCAAGAGAAACCCCTTGTCCCTACCATAAGCAGAAAATGACAGAGCTCAGGACAATCCTTATTGTGAGTAGAAAGACAGTAAAAGGGGAAAAAAAACCCCACCTTTATAGGACAAGTCGCTTTGCAAAGCTCCAGCAGAATGAGCAGGGAAATATTGTAGAGGCTCTGAGGGCATTAGTAAACACTAATGGTGCTGACCTGTGACCCCCCACCTGCATTCTGCCCATGGCCAGGAACTCAAAGCTCAGATGAGGCCTCTTAGCCCTAATTTAAGCTATGTTGTGGCTGGTCTTTAGGTCAGCTGCAGCCATTTTTGTCTGGTCTCTGCTGGTCTGGACTCCAACCCATGGACTGATCCTGACCCTGACCTGCAGATTAACTTCATGACTTGGCTTTGAACCTGTCTGCTTGCTGTGAGCTTGCTGGTTGATCTGGTTTCTTGTTTGAACCTGACCATCCTCCCCAGCCTGCCGTGCTCGGGTAGTGTGGGATGGACACAGGCTCTTACCATGCCCCTGTGTTACCCTACCGCCTTGGCTCCCAGACATCCCCCGTGATCAAGGGGAGCGGGTATCTGTTCAATATCTGAATATTAATTCTTCTGAAGCCTACAGACAGATAGAAATGTGGTGCTGCCAAAGGCAAGGAACAGCCCTGCCATCCCAAAAGTCTCAGTGAGATGGGAAGGTGCTGGAGGACTTGAGGCAGGCAGAGAAGCGGGCAGGGAGCAAATCTAGATAAAAGAAAGCTCAAGAGACAAAAAATAAGGGACAGAAAGCAGTTGCCATGGTCCTGGGCCCAAGGATGGGATCTCGCAGCAGATCTGTGGTGAAATCAGGACTGAGCTGAGTCTGCCAGAAAATCCTCCCTGGGGAGGGGGGGTTGCGGCTGGCCCCCCATCCCCGAGGTGCTCCATGCCTGCAGTCAGGGCGGTGCAGGCAGAGCCGGCATAGAACTCCAGGTCTCAGAGCACCCCCGTGAGGTCTCACATATGGGCGAGCAGCAGCACTTGGCAAGAGTGGGGATCCACAACCACGTCCCCTTCTCCCCTGGCTGGTCGTATCCCTCTCCTCACTTCCCCTGCTGTCCTGCAGGGATGGAGCTGGTGCCCGGGGGTCCCGTGCTCTGCAGGGAACAACAGCTCAGGGGCCAAGACCCAGAAGGTGCTTAGAGAGGACAGCTGGGGCCTCAGATACGAGGTCATCTGTGGCATGTTTCTTTTCCTGCTTCCCTCTATTTTACCATCTGTGAAGTAGGTGTTTTCCCCGATTCTGCCAGGTTTCCTTCCTGGCCTGCCCACAGAGCGATGCTGTTCATCTGCCGAGGGTGCTTGGTGATCAGGACTCACTGGTGTACAGAGGGATTTAGCTGCTCCCCTACCCTGATCTTCGCACCTTCCCATGGTGGGACACTCTCCTTGCCGACAGGCTGTGCCCAGCAAAGCATGATGGTGTGCTGACACTCGAGGTTGCATCCTGGGAAGGGATGACAATTTAGTTGTCAAATAAAACCAGTTTTGTGATATTGCATCAGCATGTTCACAAGCACAGAGGTCCAGGTGGTCTGCACAGGGCTCCTTGCAATGACACTGAAGACAAGGAGCACTGCCAACAGAATCCTCCTCACGTTGCTTGGAGTCCTCGGGCTGATTTAGGATTTATGTCCCCTTTAGGAGGTTTTTGTCCCTGTTTTAGACCACCTGTGAGTCAATCCACCCCCTTCCCCTGCCCTTGTCATCCCAATCTGGGCATCTCTGGCGAAAGCAATAAACACACCCTCTGTCTTTTGTGCAAGCCATTGATTACTGACAGTCAGAGAGGGACCTGGGGGTGTTGATTGACAGCCGGATGAACAGGAGCCAGCAGTGTGCCCAGGTGGCCAAGAAGGCCAATGGCATCCTGGCTTGTGTCAGAAATAACGTGGCCAGCAGGGACAGGGAAGGGATCTGAGCCCTGTACTGGGCACTGGTGAGGCTGCATCTTGATTACTGTGTTCAGTTTTGGGCCTCTCACCCCAAAAAGACCACTGAATGACTCGAGCGTGTCCAGAGAAAGGCAACGGAGCTGGTGCAGGGTCTGGAGCACAGGTCTGCTGGGGAGCGGCTGAGGGAACTGGGGGGGTTTAGTCTGGAGAAGAGGAGGCTGAGGGGAGACCTCCTGGCCCTCTGCAACTCCCTGACAGGAGGGTGCAGAGAGGGGGGATGAGTCTCTTCAACCAAGTAACAAGCGAGAGAAGAGGGAATGGCCTCAAATTGTGCCAGGGAAGGTTTAGACCTTACACTTAGGAAGGATTTCTTTGCAGAAGGGGCTGTTGGGCGTTGGGATGGGCTGCCCAGGGCAGGGGGGGAGTCCCCATCCCTGGAGGGGTTGAAGAGTCGGGTTGACCCAGCGCTGAGGGATCTGGGGGAGTTGGGAACAGTCAGGGTGAGGTTCATGGTTGGACTGGAGGAGCTTTAAGGTCTTGTCAAACCAAGATGATTCTGTGATTCTGTGAGCAGCACTGGGTGTGCAGCAGACCACTGTGGGAACCCCGGCAGGGTGTTGGGGACAGTGCCTTCAGACCTGCCTGGGACAGTGGGAAATTCCCTCAGGAAAAGTGATGTTGGAACTCTGGTGCTGCAGTGGGCACCCTGCACAGCTGAGCTGGGAGATGGGGAAAACCAGCAGCACGGCAGCTCCTCCAGCAGCCCTGGGAGTAGGACTGGGGGTGACCCAGAGGGAGAAATAACTCCCGTTGTATCACCAGCACGCTCGCAGCACACCTGGGTTTTCTTAAACTGTTTTCTCCTTAAAATACCAACTTCATCGTCCTTGCTTGCAGACAACAGCAAACAGCTTGTGCCCTGCGAGTGCAGCTCCTGTGTTTTTGGCAGGATGAATGCCACAAAGCCCCGAGGCATGCGTGCACACGTGGGAGCTGCGTGTGGGTGTGTTACCTGCTGCTGCAGCAGCTCCATTGCATTTGGTTAAAGGATGAATAAGGTGGTTTAAAAAGTAGTAATAGTCCCGAAATGCTGGAGAGTGTGACAGCTGTGACACAGAGCTGAGAGCAGGGCAGGGTGGGCAGACACTGGCCCTGCAGGACCCTGGCCTGGAGCGCAGCAAGGGTGTGGATGTGGGGTCCCCTCAATTTGGTCCTGCCAGTGGGATCTTAAGCTCCGTTTAGCCTCTGGGGTACAGTCAGGCTGTGCTGACCCGGGCCTGCCTGCCCTGCCAGGCTCTGTCCCCGAGGGCTCCTGCCCCATGGAGGGTGTCCCCTGCCCCATGATGGGTACCCTCTGCCCCAAAGGGTGTCTCCCCTGCCCCATGGAGGGTCTCTCCTGCCCCATGATGGGTACCCTCCGCCCCAAAGGGTGTCTGCCCTGCCCGTGTGGAGTTTACCATGCCCATGCCCCATAGAGGACCTGCCCTCCCCCAGAGCGCCCCCGCCCCCTG